TTTGTACTACAAATTACAATATCTCTAATTACGACAATCGCTCGTTTCACTCGCGAAATATGAAGGCACGATATATCCCCCGAGTTTATCCTCCCTTTCATCCAATCTCGACCAAAGCTACGCATACGTTCGCGTATTTAATGCACCAATCAAGTCTCGGACAGAACGAGAGACTGTCAGAGGCGAGAAGTTCGTCCAAACGAGCACGACGAAGATATTTTATCAGTAAGCATCGAGATCACCGCCGATAACTGACGACGCGAAACTCTACATATATAAATTCTCCGCCTCTCTACTCTACCCGATTTCGTATTTTCGTGAAGAAAATTCTACTCCTTCTCTCTTTTTTCTTGAATTAACAACTCATTTTTAAATTTACAATCAAACCTACTGTTTCTCTTCTTTTCAAGAAAGATGATTCAATCAAAGATAATATTTAGATATTACTAATTTAAACGACACGCTCCTCATTATACACAAAACTATATATAATCCAAAAAAAAAAAAAATACACTGAAATTTCATCGTTTTTCAATTTCGATAGCATCAAAGGAACGTTCAGAAAAGAAAAAGATTTCAATAATCGAAACACAAAGTAAATCGAGGATCATCATCGAATCGATCGAATTGTGATCCGTCGACGGATCCTCTTTTTCAGTGACAGTTTTAATAATCGAGCATCGGCAAGTCCAGAGTAAGATTATCGCGGCGAGACGATCGGCCCTCGGTGCTCCCGTAATTTGTGTTTTCGTTATTGCGTCCGATTCCTGTTCCCCAAAGGCGCGGGGAGAACAACGACGGTATCTGGTGTCGCGGAGCAGCCGAGAATGCGAGAAACCTCCGCCGCGTGTGGAACAGGTTCTTCGTTTTCCGGGGGCAGATCGGTGTTCGCTTGTTACCGCGGACGGAGAGGAGAAGAATGGAGAAAAACGAAGAATTAAGAGGGAACGAAAGGAAAGGAGGAACGAAAACAACGTGTGTATATATATATATATATATATATATATGTATACGTGTGTGTGTGAGTG